AATATTTCGAGATTGGTTTCAGGTTGGTTGATGAATGTGTTTCTTGCTCGCCTTCCCGATTCTCGCTCGATTTGACATTTTCGTCCGTTCCGACTGCGTGTAGTGGAGACAATGCTCGCTAGATAAGTGAATGAAGTAACCTCATTCGAATCCCTCCCGTTGATGGTGATTGGCGCTGGATGTTGCTGTTGTTAGTTGGTTAGGTTATGAAGACTTCCAACTGAAATTTATCAAAGTGCTTACTAGTAAATTATCTTTGCAACCATTTAGTGATTGCCAATATTGAGAATATTGATTCTATCATATAATCAGCCACAGAAAAAAGTACAGAGTAATTTATCATTTCTATGCATTATATGCATAAGTGGGTTTCGACAAGTCCATGGAAGCTGATGATACAAAAATTATATGGATAATCTGGATCCCGTTAAAGCTTTGAAATCTAGTGACGTCACTATTTGTGCAAAACCATCAGGAGAGATATGATCAGTTCAAATGCAAAGATTTCCACTCCAGTTTCTTCTAGCTCAGATGAGGAGAAGAAGGAAGAACTTTCTGCAGTGTCTATTACGTGTCATATTGCTAAAAAGTCTTCTTCTGGAAATATTTTCAACTTAGTTGGTGAGATCTTTCGTGATATCCGTTTTTTTATTTGACACTAGTAACCAGTGTGATGCGTCTAGTCCTCTGATTGGTCTAGATTGTATTCTATCAGTCAGGTTGTAATGTGACCACCATTCTAGCTAGCTCGCCATCACAGTGCACATTAATTTGATGGTATTAGATGGTTGTAGGCAATCGGCAGGAAACCTTGGACCTAGGTTTCGTGCTAGTTTTTCAAAGAATTTTGAAAATTTATATTCTCCTACCAATCGACATGATTTGGAATCGAACCCAGGCCCCTCCTGTGTAGGTGGAAACTATCCTAACAATGGACCAACGAGTCAGTAATCAACAGGTCTAGTGAACACATTTTTGAATAGTGACCAGCTAGCATAATTTTAACCATTTCAAGTAAAAGATTAATTCACCTATTTGTCATAAAAACACACTACATACAATGAAATATTTAGAACATTCAATGAAACTGTCACTAGTACACTAACTAATTTAGACGAAGAGAAGAAAAGCTGAAGTGACTAAAAACTCTTTCTAACTCAAAAGAAAGTTGATTTGTAACTTATACAAAAAAAATCAAAATCATTAACAGAAAGTGCTACATACTGATGTACACCTTTTTGTGTTCACTAAAACCAAACTAATATTACTACCAATAGTACTAGTAGTATGAACACACACCATGAAATAAACAATCAGACTATACACACACAAAAGTACAAACGCCTACGCATCACAGATAAATCAAACAGTTAATTCGATTTAAAGGTGACAGCTGGTATTTTTGAAGAACTAGATAAATGCGAAAGCAAATTTAAGATGCCTGAGATATAATATGAAGAACTAATGAAGAACACCTAATGAAGACAACTGGACATCTGTTTCACCTAAGCTACAACCCTCTCTCTATATAACCAACCGTAAATAGTCAAACAGGTAGAATGAAGATATTTGAAGACACCTCCATTTTATTAATCCATAACATGATATTATTCAACACACAAGAATCAACTGGAAACAGGATTTCAGCATGAGCTGACATCGGTAAGAAGGTAACAATAGAAGACAAGGGCCAGGCAACAGATCGTTTAGTAAGGAAATCAACAGACATTTATAGATTTCCATGTACTGCACTTGTGGAGCGAGTGATAATCCCCGTTGCTCTAGGAACTTGATTTTTCGTGCTCACTAGGGAACCTCTCCTACTATGGCCAAGTAAAGGTGTGGTTAAAACCATAGCAATTTCGATATTGGACCACCTTGTCCAAATGGAGTATAAAGTCAGCATTGAAGAATCCTCTTCTATCATCTACTGGGTACCAAATAAATTGTTGAAAATATCCAGATACCGAATACTCCAAACAGCAGAGGCTGTTGCAATTCGCCTCAAACAACCAGTGCTCTGTGTTGATCAAAAGAAGTAAGTCCAGCTAGCCCCTATTACTGCCCTGGCTGGTCTTCAGTAGAGACTATAAATTCATGAATTTGTAATATTATCCTTCCTAATTTACCTGTCTTACATTCAGCTTATTTTATTTGATGCTAGTGAGCTGTAATCCATTGCTATTATTATTATTGATTCGATGTTATTTAAACAACATTAATCTTGTTCATAACACTAATTCATTCATTCAGTAGAGTCTGATGATGAAGTTCAGTATCCATTCTTTTGAAAAAATTTTTTCCTTCATGTTCCCAGTGAAATATAGGGCCTCAGGCTAGTGGCTTGAAGTTTCTGTAGAGCTGTTTAATTTTACAGGATGGGGTTGCTAGCCTCATACCCAACCTTTCCTCTTTGCCAGTATTATTTCTGGCTTAGCGAGGTAAGGCAGTGCGTCGGCGGGGATCGAATCCCGGACCATCTGCGAGCGTCCTAACCGCTGTGCTACTACGCTTTGAAAATTTTAATGGGCATTTTTAATCAGTTAATAACAAATAAATTTTGACTCTGTAGAAAAGTAGAGGAAAAATGCTTCACAAATCCATTCAGCCTCTAAAAGGATACTTATAGACAACTTAACAATTCAACGAGGATTACTCAAGTTTGGTCACTAAACAAAGACTTGAAGTGGTACTCAACACACCTTGCTATGCTGCTAAACTCATTTCCATACAGAAAACTAAAATTCACCTGTGTTAGAAACCCTCACAGCGTCTGAACATAATGTCACAACTCACACATGTCCTATGTGGTTGTAACAGCAAAAATAAAATCGTCCAATTCAATTGACCTTGTAAATGGATGCAAAACCTCATCTGTTGATAACCACATCAAATAGACGGGCTGTAAAGTCGGTTTGAATAGTGCGTATTATATACTTATGGCATATTATATATATATATATATATATATATATATATATATGCATGCGTATTATATACTTAATATGGCAGTCACCTCTCTATCTCAACTTCATAGACTTTGAAAAGGCCTTCGACAGCGTCGACCAAAAGGTGATTTGGAAACTACTTCGCTACTACGGGGTCCATCGACAATTATACATCTAATTCAACAGTTATACGACAATGCGGCATGCCAAGTAATCCACAACGTGAAACTTACGGAAGCCTTCGAAGGGAAGACGAGAGTAAGACAACCTGGTTGCCTACTATCGCCAATGATTTTCCTGATTACAGTAGATTGGATAATGCGACAGACAGCGGTGGGCGACGAGGAGACAGGCACAAATGGACCCACACAAAATCCTTGAAGGATCTGTACTTGGTAGATGATATATGTCTGAGTCCTACAAACTGGAAGATATGCAAGTGAAAAGCAACAATTTGGCAGAAGAAACATCAAAGATAGGACTTCAAGTGAACGTAGATAAGACAGAGGTGATGAAGATTCCTGGCCAACACCAACAGCCACAGCAACTAAAACAGACAACAATCAGCCAGCATGAATGGGAGGAACCTGAAAGAAACAACCTCCTTTACCTACCTGGGAAGCATCGTTTCAAATACAGGCGGAACTGACGAGGATATCAAAGCCAGAATCGGAAAATCAAGACAAACTTCATTACTCTTAAGTCTATGTGGAGGTCAACAGCACTCATCATGAAAAACAAGATCGGGATTTTCAACTCCGATGTGAAGTCAGTGCTACTATACGGATCAGAGACTTGATCAGCGCGTCATAAAGAGCATCTCAAACAAACTACAGACCTTCATTAATAGTTGTCTTCGCTCAATACTACTCAGATCAGATGGCCAGAAAAGATCAGCAACAGGAATCTCTTGCAGTGAACGAACCAACCAGGAACCGATTGTGCAACAAATAGGCAGGAAGAAATGGAGATGGATTGACCATACTCTGAGGAAACCATTAAGTGAGTGGCATCACTAGACAAGCCATTGCTAGAGTGGAACCCGAAAGGGAGGCAGTAAGTTGGTCGTCAATGCAAGGGTGACTTGGAGGAGGTCATTTGAATAGTAGATGAAAGCATGTGGGCAGAAATGGAGCCAGGTAAAAACTTTAACAGAGAACCGAACGCAAAGGAGACGCGCGGCTGAAGCCATATATTCCTCTTGGGGAATAAAAGGAAATAATAATAATATGCTTAAATTTGTACAAGCCTTAGTCATATAACGGTTTGAACTTGTTTTGTGTTCAAAATGACTTATTATTATTACTACTTTGATATTTCTCTGATATTCCAATAATAAAACCAAATTTTACTTTATATAACAGTATTTTCATCCCTTTTCCTTCCTTATACACTATCTGTGATCTTGAGCTTTAAACATTTTGACCTATATTGATTCAATTTTGACCATATACACTCTAAAACGCCAGGGGACTTCATCCTGTAGCAAGTCACTAGCTAGCACCTGAAGGTCCTTGGTTTAAACCCAAGCTGTGGGTGCATACCGCCGATGATTCCCAAACCAGACTGATGAAACAGCTATCCAGTACTTTCAGCTGGTGGTTTTCAATGGTCCCCTAACTGATATCAATCAATCCATGATCAAAGTCATAAAAAAACAAATCTAATCTTCACAAATCAACCCTTGAAAATTAATCTGATGTACGCTAGTGACTGGCTACAAGATGAGTTCTAGTGAGGAGTTACAGTTATAGCCAGTGAAGTTCATCATCAAGACATTGGCTGGTTGTCACGCTGAAATCACAAAATGACAGAAGTTAGGTTCGACCTGAGTTCGACTCCCAAAAGGATTGTGAAGAATCCTGAACAGATAAAGAGTTCCCAACTAGGTTGAAACAGCTTACCAGAAGTAAGTACTTCATGGCATCTAATGATTTTCCAAATAAATATCACTGCATCATCAAACTTGAAATATTTAACTCGCTGAAGTAATAGAATCCTACAAGTACAAATCATCTCAAAAGAATAAATAATATTCAGTGAATCACTTACTTTGCTCATGAACATTAGTTGATATTTTCCTCGAAATATTTTCCCAGTCTGATAATGGCTGACTATTTATTAAAGCATTCGCTGTATTCAATAATAAATAGCATAAATGTAATTCCCTGTAGACTGATTGTACTTCACATGAATGTAATTCAATAAACGGTGTTAACTCAGTAAGTAATCGATGATGAAAATCAGTCAATGGAATTGTACTCCATGGAATATAAAATTCTTGAGGTATAAAAATAATACGTAAATCATTTGAATAAAAGAAATTACATGAATCATTGATGGCATTATTATTATCATCATCATTATTATTTTTTTCATGATTATGATTAGATTGTTGTGTGGTAATTAGACCAGGCCATAGACCGGCTAATACACGAAATAATGCTGTTTTACCGACACCACTTGGACCAGTAATAAGTAGCGGTTCATTTCGTCGAAGCGTTAAACTCAAATCTAGGGAAGATGAAGAAAAAAACAAACAGAAACAGAAGTGATAAAGCTAAAATTAAAATGTCCGGGCACTACTACTACTATCACTACTATTAATTTTCAGAAGGAAGTAGTTAGGCTTGAAAACTTCTGCGCTTCTAACATTATAAGAGTTTCAGTCTCCCCTGTTCATGTGATAAATGTGTTGATGCTTCTCACAGGGTAGGTTGTACACCAGACATGTATATAGTCTTGGATTCAATCCCCAGTTGATGCACTTCTAAACCTTGACTGGTAACGATGGAAGCTTGGTTATTATTTATTTAAACGCAGAAAAAACTTGGTACAATATGGGACCAAGAAAGATGAGCCACACAATAATAATAAAACAACATAGATCAAAAGTAAAAAATATAAGTAGAGAACGGATAAGAAACTTCATCTGAAAGGAAAACAGTCATACTTAATAAGTTCAAACAGTATTCGTTAACTATCATCGGGAAGGGAAGAAAGAAGGAAATTGCAACACGTTTGCTATTGATTACAATTCTTGGCCATATCCGATAACGTCTCGAGCTATCTCATGGATCCCAGCCAGGGTGTTGTGACGCAACAACCGATGCTTATCTAGCACAAAAATCCTTCATCCCACGATCACCCCTCCGCCTTTTCCATCCCGTCCCAGAGCTGGCGAACAGAGACCTGTACGAAGCCTCCTCTGGGATGACATTCGTAGCACATGTCCAAGCCACCGGAGCCGGTGTTTCCAGATGATGACACTCAATGAAGGTGATCTCGACTGTGTTCAAACGCACGCCGCCGAACCTCAGAATTACTCACGCGATGATGCCATCAAACGAAAGCAATCCTGCGAGACACAATGATCGAACAGGCAGAATCGCCGCATATCCTCAGCCTACTCGGAGAGGCCAGGTTTCACAGGCGTAGAGCAACACAGCCCGCGACGAAGAATTGTATACCCGACCTTTGACAGCCAGACTAACGTCGCGACGGCGCCAGAGGTGGCTCAAGTAGATGTATGCCACCCTAGCCTTCATTATACGGTTGGTTGGATATCTCATCCATCACCCCTCCGCCAGCAGTCATACAACTACCCAGATAAACAAACTTATCAACAACTTCAAGCGGTTCACCCACAAGAAACTTGGTTGTGTAGCTGTCAACCCCACCTGGTAAAAAAAGGGATCATCCTCAATGCTACTGAAACTTCAAACCTCGAAATTTGAAGCCCTTAGAACGCAGAGGAATAAAATCAATTTATGTGATAATGAACGCAAATTCTACCTTTTACAAATTAGTAACAAAACTCAGTATACATCTATTAAATTATCATGAATTGATAGTAAAAGATCAACACACCTACGGCATATACTACTGACAAGGCATATCAGTAATATAGAGATGCAGCTTGATAGGAAGCAGTCAAAACTGAAGTCAATATTTAAAGTCAATGGCTACAGCAGAGGCAGGTAGAAGTGTTTATTGCTGAAATGTAGATCTACTTTACGTTATAGACATGAAATAATCTCATTGGACAACTTTCTGTCTCATAGTATAACCTTGGGGAAATCGCCAACCAATCAGGATAATTTGCTGTCCACTGACCTAACCATCCTTTAATGCGGTCAAAAAATCAATAAATATGTTTTTTTTCCTTAGTGGAAAGGTCCGCTAACAAATTCTACCTTTACACAATAAATATTGGTGTTCAAGAAAATAAAAAACTGCTCACATTCTCATATTCAGAGAGTCATGAGGTACCGAAGTATGCTAACGTGACACAATTGTCTTTCATGTGACGATGAAATACCAAGGGCTGGTCAGCTTCCCGATGTTTCCAACCAGTTCTAAAGTCAGAAGTAAGCGAACGACTACCATTCATAACGCATAATCAAGTAAATGAAGTTTAGATATAATCTTCGTAATAGGAGAACGATCAAGCCAACAATCACAAGGCTGCACCCTAGTTAAGGTGTTAATGTATATGACACTACGTGGATATTAAAAACTTGTGAAGTTGAACAGACCTTTAACTTACTAAATAGTCAGCGAAAATACCTCATAATATAACTCCAATTTATCCTTATCATACTTAAGTTAGTTTGTTGGGATATGGTTGGTTACAGGATTTCATCATGAGCTAATATCAGTTAGAGAACCATTGGTAAACCTGGGAGTACTGGACAGCTGTTTCGTCCTAGTTTACGACTTATAGGCAGTACGCACTCACCGCAGGGGGTTTGAATCCAGGCCTTGCGGTTACAAGGCAAGCTGGAATACCATTCAGTCACTGTGACTCGATTCAAATGGCACATAAATTCTAACGTCTACCGCCGATGACATTGGTTGGTGGTCACACTAAGTCACGAATTGGTAGAAGTTAGAATTAATGTTTCATTGAATCGAATCCCAGTGGCTCAATGTAATACAAGCTTGCATTGTAACAGGAAGATCCTGGGTTCGAAACCCTGTGGTGGGTGTGCACTGCCAATGTTTTACAAACTAGGCTGACGAAACAGTAGTCCAGTACTCCTGCCTGGTTTTCAGTGGTTCTCTAACTGATATCAATCAATCCGTGGTCAAACTCAAAAAAACAAATCTAATCCTTACAAACCAAATCTTAAAAGGATATATCCAAGTTTTCCAGGTTTTACAATATAGTAAAACAATGTTAAAAGTAGAAAGCTGCATTACAGGATGATATATATATATATTTCTATGAAAAACCTACCATGAATTAAAATGTTATTTGGATTTGACGGCACACATACTGACAAATGATCGATTTGAAAAACAACATCACTTTGCAGTGATTCATCACCATATCCACCGATTACGTCATGAACAGGGCTATCCAGAAAAAAACAACAATTGGGAAAAGAAAATCACAAAAAAACTAATTTTTTAAGTAAATTTAAATTAGTACTTTTGAGTAAAACGTATAGAAGAAGATTCAATTTAAATATGGTGACAAAAATACTCTTTTGACTCAATCATTTTTTTTGGTACGACTATGGAATTTTCAGATGTAATACCGGTAGCCTAAATTCAGCTGGCCGACCAATGATACCAGGTGTGCGTCCACCGAGGATCGAACGCCGGACCATGTGCATTGTCGGCAGCGTCCTAACCTCTGTGCCACCGACGCATATCCTGTATTCCGCTGCTAGTCACTATCGAACGAAACAACTCAAACTATCCTTAAAAACTGATAAACCGCAATTATATCCTTTGAGATAATCCCATTAAGACCACTAAGTCATAATGGCCTTATATGTGAACCTTAGGAATTAATCATCACAATAGCGATGAGATGTTCACTTTACCTGAATAGCTGAGAAAAATTTCAAATCATTATACACACACAGACAGAAGTCATAACCACATCAGTGAATTTCTGAGGTTGTGATAGCTAAAACATGTGTTACGCATATCGAGCCATCATCCTCCTCGAAAACGAGCAATGTTAGCTGACTGACATAGGATGGATCAGGTTGGAAAAGAGGTAGCACGTGGTGGTCATACCAAAACATGACTTCGGCAGTCAATGAAATCCACAACAGTTAGTTTAAGCCGACCACATCGGGAGGTGTAGACTTCCTAACTGCCTAGTTGGGTCCTTGAGATGCTGAGAACCAATGAGGGCTAGATAAAATCGGTAATAAGGCTCAAAATCCCAGTTTCCAATCGCTGGCGCAGATGCATTCACTCTCTGTGATCTGGTTTATTTCAAAAAACCCTATTGTTCTTCCACATAACAATTCTTAAGTCACATTTCCGTTTCCTATCTGTCTTTCGATGAATCTCTCTTAAATCTCTTCTCTTGCTGTATGTGCTACATTTAGGGACGGAGGGAGAGTGGGAACTCGAACTACCTCACTCCTGTGGCAACCTTTCATGTTGAAACCAGTCAGACATTTAAGTTCGCAAATGAAAATTTGTTTATGAAGACAATAAAAATATCTATACATTATAATAAAGGGTTTCTTGTATTTCCAAATGAATGAAAAACGAAACGACACCGCTCTTTTTACTGACATTTCGCTATTCACTATTGCTCACTATATTGCGGATTGTACTCATAAAAACAGTTGAAGAATCCTAGAATTGGCTGAAACAGCCGGATTGACGACCATTTTGATTAATTGACTGACCGACTGACAAAACAACGTAGAAATATGCAGCATAGATATGCAACAAATGAATTTCTCACATTCAGAATAAAGGGGAGATTGGTGGAAACTTTTAGAGTCTATAAGATACTTGTTGTGACTTTTATTCCTTCGCATTCCAAGTGGAATCGACAACTTTAAGCACTGAGCTTTGAACTTTCAGCAGTAGAAGGGTGAAGTTGCTAACCTCATGCCCAGCCTTTCATCTTTACTGGCCTTAACGCCTCGCCGACTTAGCGAAATTTATGAGTACGTGGGCGGGGGATCAAACCCCATACCACGTGAGGCGTAGTTGGCGAGTAATTAATTATACCACTAAACCATAAACACACAAATTATAAGAAAACGAAGTGAGAGTTCACCTGCACTGTTGTAGACGACTTCAAGTTACATCACAAAGAGTTTCCTACCATTAATGTTTAGCATCTCGAAAACTCAAGTCAGATAGTTTATAAATATATATACTTTGATGGATCATATCAAATGTTCATTTCAGGTGTTCAGTGCTCCTGTGGTCTTAATGATTACCTAACTTTATATATAATTTAAATCGATCAAATCCTAAGTGAATTTAAACCTGAAAATGTTAGTGAGTGTAATTCAAGATGTAAGCATCCACACTTATATATATATATATATTTGATTGGACACTAAGTCAATAACTAGTGTAATGTTTCTATTCCTATGTTTGGTGCAGACTGAATTCTATCAGTCAAGTGTGAAATTTAGCGTCGGTGGCACAGCGGTTAGGACGCCGGCCAACCATGCGCATGGTCTGGGGTTCGATCCACTGCCGACGCACACCTGACATCAATGGTCGGCCTGCAAAATTTGGGCTACCGATATCCATGCTGAAAATTCCATACTTGTACCAAAAATACAGTGTAGGATCAAGCTGTAATCGAAAAAACAAAAAACATTTTAAAAAATCATGCTAGATGGCTCGTCATCAAGGTCTGCACCAAAGACAGGACTGGACAGACACATTACACTAGTTACTGACTAGTTTCCAGTCAAAAATACCCAACAGAGTCCTTCCTACAGGAGGTTAATCACGAGCCCAAATAGTTCGGTGGCAACGTCTTTGAGGCCCTGGCGCCCACTGGGTAACGCGGGGACAAGTCTCTGAAGGAACATGAGTTTCTCCTACAAGGTTGCAGATACGCGTGTCTTGCTGACTGGTGACTGCAACTAGCACGAAACCTAGGTCCAAGCAGGCCTTCCTGCTGATTGCTTCCAACCGCCTAATTCCATATATATATATATATATATATATATATATATATATATATATATATATTAAAGACCTCAAAGACGTGAATAATTAACGACGTTATTCAGACATTTTTTGAGACTAGACAAAAAGAAGTGAGTTGAAATACAAAAACTATAAAAAATAGAACTAGACAACTATTGACCTAGAACATCTCACCATTGAAATGAATAGTAATAGTTATAATAATAATAATTTAAAAACCTTTTGTTTCCAATATATAACTTTCGTTATATACTGACTGATGAAAGAGAAAAAATTCAATGTAAAATAAAATAAATTAAACGTGAAGAATACGTAGATTCGTGACTTTTAGTAGATAGATCATGTATTCAAGACCAGTTTTTATTTATTGACATTTATACAGCTTACCAGTTTGACCAATCCACATGTTCTTGAACTGTGCGTTATTCATTAGAAGAGAAAGTCATTTCTCAAAGAAGAGTGGTTTCCAACAGTAGATCATTTAGAATATGGGCTTTGAAATAATTTAACTTCAGCTTTTAGGTTTCTTCACGAATCAACATAGATAAGAGGCATCGGTGGCACAGCGGTTAGGACGCTCACTGACCATGCACATGGTACGCGGTTCGATCCCCTGCCGACGCATTCCTTTACCTTGCTAAGGCAGAAAAAAAGCTGGTAAAGAGGTACGGTTGGGCACGAGGCTAGCAACCTCATCCTGTAAAAATAAAAACTCGTACAGAAACTTCAAACCTCTAGCTTGAAGCCCTATGTTCCACTGGGAACGTGAAGGAAATAAAAAAAAGCAAAAAAAAAACGAAACCACAGAGTACCGATGCACAACTATCCCGTCCTATTTCGGGACTCTTCATCAGTGCGCATCCAAAGTCACACCAGGGATCGAGCACAGGACCTTCAGGTTACGATTAAAAGCTCGTTAACATTCAGCCGCATGGATTGGAATTCAATGATTTGTGAATTGTAACTTTGATATAAGTATAAAACTTAGGCACTGTGGTAGAGTATAACTCCATTATGAATAAGATTTTATAAAGTATAATTATATTTCAATAGTTTACACACAAAGATCAGTTTTGTTATTGTGTGTAAACTATTGAAATATAATTATACTTTATTTAATCTAATCCACAATGCTCAAACGATTTAATGATATCAATAAGATTTTATTCTGATAAATTACACAGTATTACACAGTAATATTAACTGATGACCACGTTTCGAGCACAAACTATTGCTACTCATAATCATATCAAGACACTGCTCACACAACATTTTTCCTTCATTTATATACATGTGTGAAATTGACCATATATTTGAATAAAAATCAATATAGGATAATGTACATTCAGAAATAATAATCATATGAGTGCTATTCATCAAATACAATCAGATGGGGAATCAGACGAGTGTTTTTATAGTCATAATATGTAACTTGTAAGAATGTTGTGATGTACATGAATTGAAATAGAATTTTAAGATTATTTACCATTCTCCTCTGATTTGACTGACTAGTGGTAATAATATCTTCCATGCATATATCTGGTATTTGCATTCAGTCATTTCTGTTGAATGTGTTGTGTTGGGTGAAGACTCGACGAACAAGGATTCAGTAATCAATCTCTCTGTCCACCTACATAGATTACAATTTTAACCGTCTTCACCCAGCCACTAGTGTGGTTGTGTGTTGAAGCATGCAGTGCAATCTAGTGCTGAGCTTTTTACTAAATTACTTAACTTCGTGGTGCCAACCATTCTTACCTTAGCGAAATTCTTATGTTCCGACAATCCGATTACCCCCAATCTACTATTTTGGTCTATATGGTTGAACTCATAGTCATTGTAGGGTATTTTGTTAATTATATTATTCTGTTTAATTGGGTTCACCGGGTTCTTTAACCTACAGAGCTTTTCCTATCTGAGTGAGTTTGTAGGTTTGAATGGCACCACCCTAATTCCTGCTTTATTAAGAATCCTACGTAGAGTCTCAGATGTCTTCTTATATGGTTGAACTAATGTAGATGTCTTATATTCTCTCTTATTTATGTTATCATTATTGGTTTCACCATTATTTTTATTTCGCTTTTGGCCTTTTCTGATCTTCCTAATGAATTTTAAAGGATAGTTAGTTATTTAACACCAACGCCTCTTCTATCTGTTTTATTTCATCATTTAGATGTCTTTTTTTGTGCCACTTAGTGCAAATTTACAAACTCACTCAGAGACAAGCTCTGTAGGCTAAAAGACCAGGTAATAACATTCAAAGAGGTTACTTATTTTGACTATAAAAATACTCGTATTATTTCCCATTTGATTGTAATTGATCAATAACACTCGTATTATTATTTCTGAATGTACGTTATCCTATGTTGATTTTTATTGCAATATCTAGTCAGTTCCATGTAAATAAATGAAGGAGAAAG